CCTACTGTTTTTTTTCTTAGTTTTGCCACAGGGTACATGCACTCACCAGAGCTAGAAAGTGATAAAGTGCCCCCAGGGGTACACTGCAATCCCTTCTCCTCCATTCTCCTCCCAGGACTTTGGGCATGCACGCACACATGCACTGTGTATTTCTCAAGCCACTGTATCTGGGACTTGAACCACGCGGTCAGCCACATGGAATCCATCTGCCCTCATGACCACACCACTGGCCGGCCTGGCAGCTACCATTCTTAGTCTCAGTTTCCAAGCAACAAAAGTAAGGCACGAAAAAAATAAAGGAACTTGCCCAAGGTAAGCGGCAAGACTGGGGCCTGAAAGTCACCAGGGCCATGACTGAGACTGGATGGGAGGCCTGAAGGACCCAGTCAGTCATGCCTGGGGCGGCCGGGGAGGGGACAGGCTTTGCAGGAAGACAGAGCAGCGCAGGGGGGGGAAGGGGCTTGGGGAAACAAGGTATTGAAAGGGGAGAAGGCGGAGGCAGGGGGGGAAGAGCAGCAGCGTCTGGAACAGGCCCCATTTCCACCCAGCAGGTGTCACATCTGGGGGGAGGGGCAGCTAAGGTTAACAATGGGCATTCAGGGCCCCCTCAACATTCTGAGGCAAAAGGCAACCTAGAAACAGGTTGTAAAAGCCTCCCGAGGCCCAGGTCCTCTAAGGCAACCTGTTCAGGGATGAATTTTCACACCCTGACCTAGAGCCTGGCAGCAGCAGGCAGTGGGAGTGGGTCTCAGGATGTCCCCCTGTATGCCCATACCATGTCTGGGTCGTTCCAGTGCCCGGGGCCGGCCGCGGGCTGCAGAATATCCTGGTGCTTCACAAACCAGTCGAGGATGGACAGCACACTGCTCCAGGAGTCCTGGATGTCGTCGTAGTTGCGCCACAGGTTGCAGCTGTCTGCCAGGAGGCTGTAGTTCACCTGGGGGGAGCGGGAAGCCCAGCAGTCACACACTGCTGCCAGGGCCACGCAGGGACCGGGGAGGCCCAGGCGGGGACACAGAGGCTGGGGAAGGGGAGGAAGTCTCCGAGAGGCAGCTGTCTGGCGCCACCAGGCCTCCCCTCCATGCATGTGGGTACAGGGGCCTTCCCTGCCCTCTCAGGCTACCTGGGCTTGGGCCCGGGGTGTGGGCCCAGGCTGGTGACGCAGTGTCCACTCCTCCAGCTGGCCCTCCACCTGCCTTCCATTTGCAACCTCTACAGAAGGGCAGATGACCAGCTCCTCTGCACACCCGCCGCCCGCCAGGCTCCTCTGCAGGCCTTCTGCCACCCCCTGCTGAGGGGTCCCCACTGAGTGTCCCCAGGTTCTTCAAGACGTGGCCCCACCTGCCTGGCTTTGCCAGTCCATGCAGGACCACCCAGGAGTCTGCCCAGTTTCTGTGTTGGTGGCGCATGGTTCTCCTGCAGTGCGTGCCAAGTCCTTCAGCCCACTGAGGAGACCCTCCTCAAGGTCCTGGGACCTCTGGGAACACCTCCTTCCAGGGGTACTTAGGACCCTCTCTAGACACCTACAAACTGACCTGTGGGCAAGTGTGGGTACAGCAGCCTGCTCTGGGAGGCCACCTCTCCAAAGCCTGCAGGCTGGTGGACACACAGAATGGCTTACCTTGGGGGGCAGGCCCCCTTCATAGGCTGGCCAGCTGCAGGAGAAGGCGATGGGGCGGCCTGTGGCATTGAGGGCAGCAGCCATCTTGGGGTACCCTGGGGAAAGCCCAAGCTATTTCAGGACTGAGAAGGCATGGGGGACAGCCTGGGGCTTCGGCCAAACCTTTTCCCACCAAATGTGAGGAAAGTGAGGCTCCAAAGAGAAGGTGCCTCCCCCTGCACCCAGGGCCTCAAAGACTCCTGGGTGGGCCACAGAGCCACTCCACCTTTAGGGAGTCACGACTCCCCCAGGCCTTGGATGAGAACTGGAAGCGCCACCCCGAGGGGCTGGCCAGACAGACCAAGCTTGGCCAGGGTGCTGGGGGGCCTCCTGCAGCCCCAGTGGCCCCAGCCGGCTGTGGGGCTCACCCTGGGCTCGCTCCTTGCGGGTCGAGAAGCAGCCATCCAGCTTCAGCATGTCCACCTTCCACTCGGCAAAGGTCTGCGCATCCGGGACCACCTTGTCCAGCGTGGTGCCCGGGTACCCCATGCAGGTCATGTTGCCCAAGTCCTCATAGATGCCCAGCTTCAGACCCAGGGAATGAGCCTGGAGGGTGGGGAGCAACGTCAGACAGGACCCTCGGAGCCTCCTCACAGGCACATCTGACCAGGCCCCATTAAAACCTTCGGAGTTCCAAGTTTTGCAAAAATGCGGAATTTCATGACATCGATTTTAGAGAACTGCTCACAGAAGGTTGAGCAGAAGTTACAGGGAGCTCCTACATAGTCCCCGCTCCACACACACACAACCTCAACACCCTAATCACAAGCAGAGGGAGCGCGGGAGGCTGGCATGCCGGCCTAGTGTCCGGCAGCAGGGTGCACCCCTCGCCAAACACGCTGTTCCAGGCCCTGCTCCTTGCCTCTCGGCTTTGCTTTGGCCATCCCCTCTGCCTCGGAAGCCATCTCTCAGGGATTAGCTGAAGAACTGCCTCCTCCAGGGAACCCTCCAGGAACCCCACTGAACACGATGCCTGTTCTGGCTCTCACTCATCAGAATGGGCCACAAGCGGGTGTTCATTGTTTCCTTCACCACACTGAGCTCTCAAGCAGGGACGGCCTGAGTGCGCCCTCTGCAGAGGCAGGACAGGACAGGGCAGGGCTGGGGCTCACGTAGTCAGCCAGGAAGGCGATGCCATGTGGGAAGCGCTTGAGGTCGGGCACCAGGCGGCCATTGTCATCGCGCCCGCCAATCCAGCAGTCGTCGATGTTGAGATACGTGTAGCCCATGTCGCGCCATCCGTCCTGGGCCAGTCGGTCCGCCATCTCCATGAAGAGCTGCTCACTGGTGGGGAGGGGACCGCGCAGCTCAGCAGCCCAGCCTGGCCCTCGCCCACCCCACCCTCAGCACTGAGAGTGAATCGGGCCATAAAACCTTGGCTGTGCTGTCTGGGACACCAAGCCAGGCAGGGAGTGGGAACGCCATAAACCAGGTGGGGTGAAAGGAGCGGTCTGGCCCTCAGGCCAAGGGGCCGAGCAGGCGGTGTGAATAGTTATCTCCTTTCCATTATCTCTGGGCTGGGTCCACTGTGAGGCCCCTGCCCCAGAGGCCTGACAGGTCCCCAGAGGCCCCAGGCAGGCCAGGGTGCTGGGTGGCTGGTATCCCAACTCACTCTGGCTGCAGTGACAGCCCCAGAGGGCCCTGGGCAGAGCTTGGCAGGCAGGGGCAGCCCTCCCTCACCTGATGCAGTTCTTTGGGTCCGCCTCACAGTCAGTGTTGCAGCGGAAGCGTTCCCAGGCCAGCCAGCCCATGGGTGGTGTCCGCAGGAGCCCGTTGTCCAGCATCAGTCCCTGGGCGACCAGGGCCAGCAAGAACACTGGGTGTGGGGCATGGGAGGTGGTGACTGAGTGGCTGCCATGGCCCCAGCCTTAGCCCGCCTAAACACATGCTGCCTGCCTACACCTCAGGGGACCCAGACTCCTGGGCCTACCGTAGAAAGGGGCTCTGCCTGTGTAAGGGGAGGATGGCGCCAGGCAAGGCCCTGCTGTGCAGTCGGCCGGAGCCGCGGCCAGGGGGCTGGCATTAGCCCACCTTAGCCTGAAGTTATGTCGTTCCCGTGCCCCTGCCCTCCTCCCCCAGCCCTACAGGACTGGCCCGGGCAGGCGGACAGACTGCAGTCTCTTGAGTTGGCAACAGGGCTCTCCGCTCTCCTCCAGACCTCAGGAGGCCTCAGAGGGCCTAGGAGGCCGGCGGGGTGGGACTTGCACCCCGCGTGCTGCCTGGGTGGGCCCTTCTCAGCCGGAACCACGACCGACTTCACAGTGCTGTTCTCAGCACATGCCGGTCTGGCACGAGCCGGCCGCGCTCTTGGGAAGAGGAAACCAGCCTCCGGACTCCCTACGAGGGAGGAGCAGCCTCCCCACATACGCACACAGGGAAAAGCGCCCGACACCAGACACCAGAGGGCTGGCCGGAGCCTCCTCCCTGCAGCCCTCACTTCCACCTCCCAAAAGCCACCCCTGCCCCGCCCCCGCCGGTACCTGAGCTCAGCAACATCGCGCGGTTCGGAGCCTCAGGCCCTGACCAGATCCGCTCTGCGTTTATCAGTTCGTGTTGGGTCCTGGAAGCCAAGAAGCGTTAGAAAAGCACTGTGGCCGCGACCGCCTAGCCAGCCTGCTGCCCCTCGCCACGGGTGTGGACCGCACACTCGGCCCGGAGTCGCCCTCACTAGCCCGACCCAGCCCCACTCCCCGGAGCTCGGGCCGAACCAGGTGTCCTGGACATTAGCCCTCACGACTACGCAAAGCTGGGGTCCGAGCCACTAAGGGCGGCGCCAGCTCGAGGCCGCCAGGAGAGCCGAGGCACAGGGCCGGGCCCAGGCTCCAGAGCCCCACCCGGGCCCGTGATTCTGGGCGAAAGGCCCGGCCGCGCAGCCCGCGGTGCTCACCCTCCCGAGGCGCGCAGACTCCTGCCTCCGATCACCCTGAGCCCCCAGTCGCTCCGGTCGCCTGAGTCGCCTGCCGCGTTCCAGCGGGGGCGGGGCCTTACGGCGGCAAACCTTCTGCACAACCTATCAGAATCCCCTAGCAACGTCGTGCCCAACCCCCAGGGGGAGCCAATTCTCCCAACGCCCCGCCCCCTCAGGCCGGCCTGGGCCCCGCCCCCTCGGGCGCCGAGCCTGCGAGCTCCAGAGGTCTGCAAGTGCCCAGCGGGCCAGGGAACCCGACGTCCCACGTGGCTGGCTGGGCACTGGGCTCTGGGCGGGGGTGTCCCTTCACTTCTGCCCAAGCCGCGAGGGCGTGGGTGGTGCCCACAAGCTGTTGGTCTTCCGCAAACAGCCGGGCAGTGAGTCTCTGCGGAGGACTGTGGCTCCAGGAAATGAGAAAATACCCTGAAGTCTGTGTGGACAGAAGCCTGGCTGCTTTTTCCTATTTTTCCAAGGTCCTGTCCAGAGGGCCTAGGGGGAGCCAGCCTGCAGATGTTGACAGACCATTTTGGCTCATTCTTCCTCCATCCTGCCCCCGGCATAGTGTTGGAGTATATTCGTCCTTATCGCTGTTATAGTACATTCCTTTCTAATCTCATCAACCTTCCTTTTCCAACCACCACCCTAAAAACTGTAAAACCCACCTATAATCTATAAGCTCCCCCCCTTTCACATGTCTCACCTTTTTGGGCCATACCAATAGAAAACTTTTCACTAAATTCCAAACTGTCTCTCACTCTCAAAATCAAATAAAAGGAACCCTCATACCTAATCACTGGCCAGCCTGCTGCCCCTCGCCACGCGTGTGGACCCCATCTACCTGCTGCCTCTCTCCACGGGTGTGGACCCCACACTCTGCCCGGAGTCGCCCTCACTAGCCCGACCCAGCCCCACTCCCTGAAGCTCGGGCCGAAGAGAAAGGCACGTTTTGCCTCCTCTCCAGGCCTAGGCCACTCATATTCTGCTTAAAAATAAACCACATTCATTATTAAATATTTTTTTAAAATATTTAAAAATGTATTTATTCATTTACGTATTTTGACTAGAGAGAGAGAAAGTGAAAAAGCAAGCCAACAGGTCCAGGACTTGAACCATGGTTGGCCATGTGGGAATATCTAGCGCCTTAACCACCACGCCACCTGCTGGTCTCCTAATTATTAATTATACATTTTTTTAGAGTTGGTTATTTTCCATGGACATGGCACATTGTAAAACTACTCAAAAATGATCATAGGGGTTCACAGGTGGCATGGTGGTTAAGGCGCTGGGCTGCTGGACTCCCACTAGTGGACTGCAGTTCGAGTTCCAGACCAGGCAGTTTGCGTTCTCACTTTCCCTCTCTCCCTCTCTCTGTTTCTCTGTCTCTGATCCAGCTGAATAATGACAATAAATGAAATCATTGTAACAAATGTAGAAACATGATCAGGAAGATGAACAGGCGTGGGGGAAGATGGGTGGGAGAACGTAAACCGGGGGAGGGTGTGGCTCCGGCAGTCAGGCTCTCCTGGCCCCCCGACACTCAGGGACTGCTCCCCCAGGCGCTCTGCACCTTCCTTCATGAGTTGTCAAGTATTTGTTGCGGGACTAGTAAGTGACAAACATTCCGGGCTCCTTCCTTTGCCTGCCACTGAGCATTCCAAACATAACCGGCCCCAAACTGAACACTGCTACCCCAAGCCCACACCTTGGGGTCTTTCCTCCCCTCCCTCACTTAGTGCAGCCAGTCCCTCAGCAAATGCTGGCTCTCTCCCTTCAAAATCCATGCAGCCGTGTAACCTAGTGGTTAAGGGAGCCAGATCCACATAGGTGACTGGAGTTTGCCCCCCAGCCCGGGGACCTTAAATACTCAGGTGCTGTGTGTTGGTGCCCCAAATCCCGACAGTGGAGAAATGATGGAGAAGGGATCACAGTGTGTCTGTCCCTCATCATCGGGATGCTTTCTCCCTCCCTCTGTCTCTCTCCGCGGAGGGCATATGCTCTCCGGGAATTCAAAACAAAAAGTGAAACAAAATCCTTGGGGAATCTGGCAACTTCTCACCGCACTGGCTGCCCCATCTGGAGTGTGGTGCCTCTGGCCTGCGTTATTGCAGCACCTCCTCCTTGGTCTCCTGCTTCCTTCTACCTCCATTTATGCTGTCCTCAGCAGCCAGAGCAATCCTTGGAGCACTCCTAGGTTCAAGCCCTGAGGTGGCGGCTCATCTCAGTCCAAGTAGCAGCCTGGAGCCTCACAAGCCCCACCCACACCCTGGCCTCTTCACTGCCTCCTCTCCTCACCACCTCCCTGCTGGCTGGCCTCCTCTAGGTCCACAGACACAGCAGGCCTCGGCCTCGGGGGCCTTGCACTAGCTATTCCCTCTACCCTGACGCTCCTCCAGATACTGGCATGGCAATTCCCTCTTCCCCTCCAAGCGTTTGTCAAATGTCACCTTCTCAGGAAGGCCTATCCTGATCCTCCCATGCTCCCTCACTCTGGTCTATGTTTTCTATACAATTATTACTTTCTAGCACGTTTATGAGGGGTTATACTGTTTCTGGAATACAATTTAGTGAGGGAGACAGACACTATACAGGAAGAACAGCAGGACTGTGGGGAGGTGTACTATGGTGGCACGGGAGCCGTTGGTGCTATCCTGAAAATGCCACCCAGGGTGCTGCGAGAGGCTGCCCCATCCACCCTGCATGGTGGGAGGGGCCCTTGACCTGACACCCCAGTGATGCAAAGAGCCCTGAGACGTGGCTGGGGTGAGAGTGAGAGGGAAGAGCTTCCAGGCTGCAGGAACTGCTTCCAAGGACTTCAGCAGACTGTAGCCTCTGCTGTGGCCATTGCTGCAGACTTCCGGTTGGGCCTTACTGGTGGACCAAGCCTAGGAGTGTGCAGGCGTGGGGCTGTGTGGAAGCAGAAACGGATACTCCCCAGAGGCAGAGATTAGGCAGACCCCAGGAGCCTGGCTGGGTCGCCTAGGAAGTTCGGCCTGGTCTCAGGGACTGTGTAGGAGCACGCCTTTAGGAGTTGCCCTGACTGAGGATGCGCGACGTGCGGGCTTGGCTCTGCAGAAGTGGGCCGGGCAGGGCGAGAGGTCCTGGAGGGGAAAGAGGATTGGGTGTTCCTAGCAGCCGGCTAGGTCGCAGGCCTGGTTCTGGCCTGCGTGGGACCCTCGTTCCAGGCCTCCAGCTCTGTTACTCAGGAGTTCCTCGCTCTCCCAGGCCTCAGTTTCCCACCCACCTCCCGCGTGCATGCAGAGGCAGCTTCACGGATCCCGAGTCTGGCGAGTACTAGGCGGGGAGGGGCAAGGGCGGTAACACGAGCTGCCCGGGCGGGTCTCCTGGCTCCCGCAGCCACGTTCGCAGCCCAGGCTAGCGGACGCTCGGGGTTGGGAGCGGCGATCGCCCCGGGGGCGACCGCAGCACATCCTGCAGGCCGTCCTCCTGGGCTTTTGCGTGTTCAGCAGCTGGAGGTGAGAGCCGCCGGGCGGACTGCAGGGGAAGGTGGCCCGAGGGAAGGCGTGGCTGCGGGGACGTGGCGGGAACAGCCGCGCCGGGCGAGTGGGAAAGCTCGGCAGTTGCTGGCACTCCGAGACTGCGGCGCGCGCCGGGGAGATCCCGGCTGAGGGGCCCTTGTTTCAGGGCAACAGCCGGTCTGGGGCCCACCGAAGTGGCCCTGGCCAGTTGGCCCCAGGTCCCCAGCGCGCCGCTTTTGCAACAAAAGACTCAGAGGGTGGGGAATCGGCGCGTGCCATCCGGGCAGCGCACACCTAGCAGGGAAGAGAAGGGAGCGCCCTTTCCTGCACGTGGCAGGGAGATGGGACGGCCCAGAGGACTGCGGACACCTCTCTGACCTGGTTGCTGGGCCTTCCTGGGCCACCCCGCTAGAATGGCATCTCCCCCATCCCCCTCGTGCTCGCTTCTCTCCAGGGCCTTTGCTATTGTCTGTCCTTAATGTTACTTAGTATTACATTAATATTTCATTAATTCATTATTATTTGTTCATTTCTGTTTGCATAGTGTCTCTCCCTGCTGGAATGTAGGCTCCAGCTGGGTGGGGACACCGTGTTTGTCCACTGATGTATCCCCAGTGATTTGACAAGTACTTCCTGAGGACTTTGTCTGGGAGCCCTGCACTGTGCTGGAGTTGGGGATTATTCCACCAGGTAAGAGCCTGCCTTAGCCGTCCTGAGGTTTGAAAGTGCTATAAACACACATCGGGTGGTTACGAGGTGAAAGAAACATTAGCAAAAATCAGGAGATGCTAGTTAGACCTCAGATCAGGCTACCTTAGTGATCAAGGAGGGCCTCTGAATAGGTGACTTAAATTAGAGACCAGGAATAAAATGGTGAGTGCTGGAAAGGAGACTCGGGAAGCTATGAGGACATTTGAGCTGAAGGCTGAGGAGTGAAATGGAACTTACCCCTTAAGCTGCTCTCGGGTGCCTGGCCTCAGGAGCTGGGCAGGGCCTCTCAGGGGTCAGGGAAGGTGTCCTGGTGGAGGTGGTGATTTCACTGGGCCCCAGAGTGGTGCAGGAGTTCTAATCCTTTAGGATGAGTTTGAGAACTGTTTTACAGGTTCCTGAAGCACTGAGCTGTGTGGTCGGATAAGAGGCCTCCACCCTCACCCAGAGAGCTCTGCTGATAACTGCCAAGGTGTGAGGGGGTCCGGAGACCAAGCAGTGCTTCCCGGGCCAGGACCTTGTGCAAGTCCCAGTCACTGCTCTGCCGAAGTCTCCCTGCATGAGGAGGACCGCTGGATCAGGGCTCTGGCATGCAGGGAGTGTGCGTGGTGCTTCGTAGCCATGCCCCGCTCTGGGCTGCTCTTTCTCAGCCGTGCCCCGCGTCTGGGCCGCTCTTGGAGGGTAGGGCCCCATCTGAGCCCCCACCGCTGAGGCAGGCCTGCCCACTCTGCTCCTATCTGGCCCTGAGGGCTGCGGTTTCCTACTGAAGGACAAGTGCGATACACAAGTGAGAGGCCAGTAGAGACCCAAGAGGGTCGTGGAAGCCGGGCAGTTTGAGCTCAGAGTCGAACAGAGAGGCCCCCAGCTCAGAGTGGTTTGAGCACAGTGGTTTCAGTGGGCTTGAGGCCCATTCAGCCCTGCTGGGGCCTGATCACTGGATCTCTGAAAGCCATGTCGAGGTCCTGCCATACCCTAGTCCGATACGATCGCGGTGTCTTTTGCTCTGAGTCCTCTCGTCCGTTTTCCCATGATCCTCACAGTATCCCTTTGAGAGGAAAGGCAGAGAAGAGTATCCCATTTCCCACAGGGCCACAGGGGTGAGCCACGC